TATTTATATATGTAAATATTTATTTAACAAAAATATAAATTTAGATGCAAATTATAATTAATTCTTATCCGAGATAAATTTATGTAGGAAGTGTATATGAAAAAAGTGTTATTTCAATTAAAAACTATTTTTATTATTATTATTTTGTTATTATTTATTTTTGAAATTTAATTACAGCTTAAAATTCTATTGAATTATATTTAAATATTAATAACAAAAAACTTGTGTTTCAATAGTTGAACAAATTCGAGTTGCTTGTGGAAAATATGTAAAAGACGCTCCCATGCTGATTGTATAATGAATCGTTATATAACACTGACCCAACTGGGTGATGGAACGTATGGAACCGTTGTGCTTGGCCAGCGTAAGGACACCGGCGAGAAGGTGGCCATAAAACGCATGAAGCGCAAATATTACTCCTGGGAGGAGGCTATGAATCTGCGTGAAGTGAAGGTAGGCTATATATACCATATATTCATTTATCTATTATATTATATATACATACATATATATATATATATCCATTATCCATTATATTTTACTGTTTTTTTCAGTCTCTTAAGAAATTATCGCATCCAAATATCGTAAAGCTGAAGGAAGTGATTAGAGAAAACGATACGTTATATTTTGTGTTTGAGTATATGAAGGAGAATCTGTACCAAATGATCAAGGATCGCGATACGCATTTACCTGAGCCGGAGCTCAAGAGTATTCTGTTTCAGGTAGGGCAAGGAGACGGAACTCTTTATTAAATACGTGAATAATTTCTTGTCTTAGGTTTTAACTGGCTTGGCTTTCATGCATCGACATGGGTTCTTTCATCGCGATCTGAAGCCTGAGAATTTGTTGTGCTCCGGCCCGGAGCTGATTAAAATTGCGGACTTTGGACTGGCACGAGAGATACGCTCCCGGCCGCCCTTCACGGACTATGTGTCCACGCGCTGGTACCGGGCGCCGGAGGTGCTGCTGCACTCGACCAACTACGGCAGCTCCATTGATCTCTGGGCCATGGGCTGTATCATGGCCGAGCTGTATACGTTCCGGCCACTCTTCCCCGGCAGCAGCGAGGTGGATCAGCTCTTCAAGATTTGCTCTGTGCTGGGCACGCCCGGAAAGGTGGGTCTATGCTCCTCTGCTAGTCGATTCATGTATCAGCTCCTCTTTTCTTCAACAGAGCGATTGGCCCGATGGCTATCGACTGGCTGCCATGATACACTTTCGGTATCCGGATTGCATCAAGGTGCCGCTGAGCAGCGTGGTCTCTCGCTGCAGCCAAAACGGCTTGGATTTGCTGGAGGATCTGCTGGCCTACGATCCTGAGAAACGGCCAACGGCCCAACAGAGCCTCAAGTATCCGTATTTTCATGCGCTTAAGCGCATCTCGCCCGCGGCGGCTGCCAAGGCCAATGTGCGGCTCAGCTCCAAGTATGGTGCTGGGTCCGGACCCGTGCACCTTGTCCTACCTCCCACTGTGTCAAATAATGTGCTTCCGGTGCAGGAGAAACTGCAGGCCGTGACTGAGCTCATACATCAGAGCAACATCAACAACAATAACAACAACAATAGCACCAATAACAACAACAACAGCAACAGCAATAGCGACAACAACATCAAGAACAATGGCAAATCCCTGTACAATGGCCAGGTCGGCAAGAATGTGAGCATACCCATCAAATACCAGCCCAAGATAAGCTTCCTCTCCAACAACGATCTCTCCACGGATCCTTGCGCTCTCGGCATGGACATGGCCACACAGCCGACGGGCAAAGAGTCGATCAATGATATTTATTTGAATCGCAACATCTCTCAGCTGTTTGGCTTGCCAGCGTCGACAGTGGCTCATCAGCAGCCGCAGCAGCTGCCGCAGCACCAACAACAGCAACAGCAGCCACACCCACAGCCCCAGCTGCCTCCCAATGTCTCCTTCAGCAATACGTCGACGCGCAACGGCGGCGCCATCTACGTGAATGGCAGTCAACTGAGCTACGAGACGGCCAATAAGAATGCCAAAAACAACACCCGCATGGCGCCTGGCATCGGGGGCTACTACGTGCAGACGCGGCCCACGCTGCTGCAGCCCGAGGCCAAGGTGTACAACATGTTCTCGAAGGTGAGCGCCGTGCCAGCGCCGCCGAATCTTATCGTGCGCCAGCACCAGCCGCCGCTGCCCTTCGAGCCGACGTCCCTCCTCAACGGATCGGCCCTACGATTGTCGGCGCGTTCTCAGGCAGCGCCATCAGCGGAGCCAAGGATAAAGGCTGATGATCTGGATCTGATCTTGGGGTAAGTGAAAATCGAATCGGTTGTTGTTGATGGAGATATTCCCCATCATTATGGGATACATCTACAATAAATACAGGGTATACTAGGAAGTGCATAAATATCTAAATATCGTATGTCTGTTGTCCTGAATCTGGTTTGTCTGTGTTGTCCACGCACTTCTGTGCTTTACGCATTGCATATACCCTGTGGCTATGTTTGTCTCTCTGATCTGTTTTGTTCCTTGTTCAAGAAGTCGTTCTCATTCCGCATCCAGCTCAAAACTGAAAACGTCAGCGAAACGACAACGCAACGCCAAGTCGAACATCCTGCTGGAGGATCTGTTCGGCCATCTGTCCATGGACTCGGACAGCGACAGCAAGTACCCGCACACGGTGCCGCCCACGCAGCAAGCGAAGAGTGGCCAAACGACGACCAGCTCCCAGAACGGACTCGACTTCTTCAGCGAGAACTTCAAGCGCGATCGCGCCGCCAAGAGGCGCAGCCCCAACAGCCTGGAGGCGAACAATGGCAGCCGCACAGATTCGCTCTCCACGAATCCGTAAGTAGTCGCAGCAGTCGCTGTGGCATGACAGACAATCCGTTTGATTTGAATACGTTCATATCTCATATCTGTATTGTGGTCTCTGATCATCGAAACTCATATCTATTGTGCTTCTTTGAATGTCTCTCTATTATGCTATTTTGTCTCTCTGTCTTTCTCTTTGTCTCTGTCTCTTGTTTTCCCTTATATTTTTTCCTTTGTGTCTTTTCATTTGCTTGTCATTGATCACTGAACATTTTGTGCGTGCCCCAGTGATACCCAAAACGACTCCTCAACTGATGAAGGCTGTCGCTTTTGGCCCATAAGGTAAAAACCAGCATTCGTAAACTGTAAATACATAAACCCATAGAGTACACCTATTCATTTACTAGCCCATCATCATGCTAAAGTAGCTGTGTTTTTATACATTTTATCACCTAAATAACACCAACTCACAAAAATGCAAAGTGGATTATCCCAACTATAATTTTCTTTATAAATTAAAATATAGACTAACACAGATGTAATTTAAGTCCAATAAATTTCCCTTATGTAGTCATCACATATTCATTGATTTGTTGCTCTTCACAAAATAATATCAAAAACATTGAGAATTAAGAAAGGTATATTAAGGTAGATAACCGAAGCTTTCTTGCTGACTATTCGAGATATGCGTAGAGCATTTATGAAGTATAAAATTATTGAAAAAATAAAAAAAGGGTTAGTTTCCTTAGTACAATTAGAAAATTATTTATATCAAAGATGACCATTTCTATATTAAAAAAAAAGTCTATTAAAAAAAAAAAAAATAAATAATAATTAAATATAGATAACTTATGTTTTACATTAATAATCGAAAAAAGAAAAAAATAATAGAATGTAGTTAGAGTCACATGCATGCTACTTAGTTATACTATGCATTATCTAAATAAGATACAGATAACCATAAAGGAAGAAAATTCCAAATAACTTTAAAAAAATCATTTCAGAGCTCAAAAAATTTTAAAAGAAAAGGGGGCTAGCTTTCCCTGGGACGAGACGAACAAAACGGAGGATGAGAAATTAACGGCTTGGATGGTCGCCGAGAATGGTAAATTGATATTGCATTACAATTAAATAACTCAACTTTATATATGTATAATTTTTTTTATTTTTTATGAATATTAATTATATTCGGTAATATCCTACATGATTTATTTACTTTGACAGGTTCGTTGCTGGAAAACAAGTTTTGATAAGGATGAACTGATCGAGGCATGAGAATACGAGCACTCATTTATGTTGTCGTACCTGAAACCCTGAAACCTTCGCGTCATAAATACCCAAAGAAAATCTATTTCAGCGCGTCTCCTTCTATGTTTTCATCGAACTGAATTCGTATAGCAATCAGAAGGACACTAATCATCATGTAAAGTTAACGTAACCCCTAAACTAAATTAGATGTGTTTATAAAATCCATTAATTTTAATGCTGTGATAATTATAGAAAGACATAAATATATGTAACAAATAACTATATCATGTTAATGGTTAATTATAAGTCAATAATAAATGATGTCCAAACGATAAGGTACTTTTTTATGGAATAGATATTTTGTTGGAAGTAATGATGATATTATTGGAATGATTTTCACTTGATACTATTCAAAATATTCCCTTAATGAAATATAAATTCATATTCATATTCATATCTGTCGCTTTAGAGTATAGCATCTGAAAATGATGTTAAATATATAAGACCTTCAGGCCTAAAATTTGACATTTTCTATAATATTGTTTGTGATTTTTTCTTCCGAACAAAAATATCAATGTCAGCTATTATTTCAGTCGGTAATCTTGTAACGTATGCATCAAAATTTACAACAATATGTTTATATCTTTATGCAAATCTCAGCGCCGCGAGTCTGGATTAAGACCCATTCCGGTAGCAATAGGCACAGATATGACAAATTTGTAAAGCTGCATTTTTAAAGTTAAACCGTGAATTAAAAGTTTATTAATTGTTGCAAAACTAACTTGTTAGTTATATTTAACTCAAAACCGAGTTTGTTTTCTAAGACGCATCAGATATCATTTCCCATCTGTCTGCCATTTCAGTCGAGGCGGAGACGCGTGCATTGCGTAAGAGATTGCACTGTCGGGGGATTCGGTTTCAAAGCTGCACAGCTTCACAACTTGGCCACGGTGACAATGGGCCATGTGTCTGGCAGTAGAWTKCCCCGGGTGGCATATATAAAGAGGGTATCGCGATCAGTTTGTCATCAGTTCACTAGATCTCGGCCTTTGAGTTAGCTGTGCTCACTTGCAATTCAAACTCAACTGGAAGCACCATGAACATCGTGGTATGTGGCTTCAATTAATGGCTCATTGATACAGTATATAGAACAATATATATGTATTTCCTATTCGTAGACCATCACTTTGATTCTGTGCGCTGCAGCTGCAATTGCTGAGGCGGGCATCATTGTTGGCCATCCCGATGAGTTGATCTCCAGCCCGCCTCAATATGAGTTCCACTATTCCGTGCACGACAGCCATACGGGCGATGTGAAGGACCAGTTCGAGCATCGACGTGGCGAATACGTTACGGGTCGCTATTCGCTCATCGAACCAGACGGACATCGTCGCGTCGTTGACTACAGTTCGGATCCCCTGCTGGGCTTCACTGCTCAGGTGCGTCGCGAACCCATTTCGATTCTTTCACGTCATTAACACATTTACAAAATGGTTATAAAGCATCATGTCTGATTTGTATACTACTACTACTACTACTATTAAAAGGCTGTTAAAAATTATATATACTATTGTTTTAATCTGAAAATTAGTTATTTTTACATATGTATGTATGTACATATATAGAGAGGAAGTTACTTAATAAATTTGATCAAATTTCATGCCATTCCAGTGGTTTAAATCTAGAGGTAAATATTCTCGTATTCGCTTTATTAATATACATAATTATTGGAAAAAAATTCAGAAATGTGTATAAAATGTTTTTTTTTTTTTTTTTTTGTCAAGTTGTGTGTTTCTATTAGTTCTCTTATTGTTAAATTAGCAGCTTAAGTACCAAGAGCTTTTACCATGCTGAGTTATAAGAGCCAACTGTGCACGATTGAACTGAATGTATGCGTATTTACATACATACATATGTGCATGTGCATCACTGTTAAGAGACTCTGACTATCTCTTAATCGTGTGCTCACTTCTATACTTTGTTTACTCCCCCTAAATTGTGTTCGTTAAAAGAAGCGAAGTCTCTCGTTCAGAATGAGAGCGAATGAGTACGATTTTTTTCGCCTCGCAAACAGAGCGTAAATAATAAAACGCTCAACTGTTATATGCAAGCTCTGCTAATTGCCACTGCTCTTAACATATTTGCTTGCAGATTTGCTTTAACAGCTTTAGCAATTGCTCTCTGTTAACTTTACATTTACAGGATAATGTCACTAACCAGATAATGTATAAGATCTAAGATAGCCATTTGCAGTTAATAGCTAAAACTTAAAAGATTTAACAAAAATTCATAAATTCAAATTCATTTATAGAAATGCATTTATTGCGTTTATATTTTTAAAATATTCGTATTTTATCATATATATAGACTACACGAATTTCTAATGAAGCATGTTCGCATATATAAATCGTGTTATAGAGTTATAGAGGACTGATGCGCGTACATAAGTGCGTGTGAAAGTGAGCAATGGAAAGTATTGAAAATAGTGGCTAGAAATGTTACAATTACAGTTATAGTTATAGTGGCTTTCAGTTGAGTTGAGTGTTCAGTTTGAGATGGGTCGTCAATGCAATGAAATCAGTGTTTGGAATTCTCTCTCTCGCTCTAGCTCTATCGCTCTGACTCGATCCTATTGGTACAGGCCCAAGGGCAGCTTGGGGGCAGCCAGCAGCTTGGGTTGCGCATAGGCCAATGGCAAGGGGGACACAATCTTGGCAACGGGCGCAGCCTTAATGATCTTCTGGCCCAGAGGCTCACGGCGAACGACGGCATTAAAGCCGTTGTGGGCATCCGATGTATAATCCACGATGCGCTGGTAGCCATCGGCATCGATCAGCGAGTACTGTCCCTGGACCTGATCACCCTTGCGGGACTCTGTCTGGCTCTTGATGTCGCCGGTGTGGTCGTCACGCACGGAGTAGGAGAAGTCGTAATGGGCAGGCGCCTCCACCTCGACGGTCTTCAGCAGTGGCTTCACCAGGTGCGCCGTTGGGGCAGAGTAGATGGGGCTCAGCTCGATGGCAGCGGCAGCAGCCACGCCCAGGACGAACACAGACACAAGCTAGAATGAAGATAAGTTCGCTTTAGTTGCCGAACAATTTCAGTATTTCACTCATTTAAAGGAAAAAAACTCACTGAGAACATTTTGCGTTTAGTTTTCGAGTTTTGAGTTGGGTTTGGAGTGCTGAAAATCTTTCGGATCACTACACTTGAGGCTCCTGCGTTGAACTATGTTGTCAAATGTCGCGCACGCAACTTTTATACCAAAATCGATTGCCCCACCTCCGCGGTGCGTGTTATTAGTCCAAGCCCGAACCGGAATCGAGCCAAATGTAAAACAGTTACTTTTTGTTTTGGCATTGCGGCTTTGATTGCCAATATTTTGTATTACCACCCAAAAATAAAAATCCAACTCTAAATAAAAATAAAAACAATTTTACTTGTCGCATTTGCTGATCCAGTTTGCAATTTTTGGCTGTGTAACGGAGCGACTTTTGTTTCTATGGGTCACTCGGGCAAGGGATCAGCCAGAGACGGCATATAAATACATATATGTCAAGCTGATCTACTGCTTGAATAGCTTGAATAGCAGCAGCCGATTTACGAGTAAATAATTGAAATATTTCAAAGTCGAGTGAAAGTAAAAATAGAGACAGAGCGGAAAAATTAATCCATTTTTTAGCCATCAAAAATGCTCACATATTCCAGTTTACATAATTAAAATTTTTTATAAATATTTTTAATGTTACAAAAATCGAATTAATCTTGAATGCAATATGTCTTATTAGAACACAATTTCTTATTAGAATATTATCCATCAGTCGCTGCGATTCTTTCCCATCTTTCTCAATATATAAATGACTTTTGAGTAAATTCAAAAATTTCAATAATTCCAAGATAAACTTGCACTCAAATTTCAACATATACGAATTTTAGTCTAAAACTAATACATATAATTTATGATCTTGATTCTTAATTGTAATTAAAATGTATGCAGCTGATCAGAAAAATTGACTTAATATGTATCAAATATGGTTGCAAAATATTTTGGAGGCGAACTGGTTCGGCTAAGAAAATATTATATTTATATATTTATTTTTATTAAAAACTAAACTTGCTTCGTTTGGCCCGAGTCAATAGAAACCTGTAACAGAAATATGCATTAGCTTTCAAATATTTAGACCATGGAAATTCTATGAAATAGTCAGATAGATATTTGTGTACAATTTGTCGCCTCATTTTTTAAGTTTCCTACCTATAATTGATTGTTGTTAGCTATCTATGTCAACACAAAGCAGTTACAAATACACGACTATAAATTACAGCTCATTCGTGAGTATTCAATCGAAACTATGTGATGAAATGTCCAGAAGAACATTGGTCTGATGAGGTCGTTTTATGCGAGGAATTCAATTAAGTGATTGATTGATTCAGCAATATTAGATCAATGCTAGAAACTTCGAGATATGCATAACAACCCGAAAGCGTGGCAAAGAGGCTAAAACTGCATTTTGAATAGTTTAAAAACTTGAAGTCGGCAAAGACAGGAAGTTCCATTGACTACAAAATTTGCTTAAATTAATTTGCGTTTTTTTAGCAAAGATTTTTTAAGAAAAATGGAAAATCACTGATAGAAAAAAAGGCAGTACAGGAAATTAAAAACCAATTCAAAATCAATCAACTATCTTGGGTAAGATCACTTGAACACTAAATGGTACCCATATATTGTTAGCTCTAAGCATAATTGAGAGATAAGAATTGGATAGATAAGAAATTTTTATAACTGTTGAGCTAGGAGGCAGAAATAATTTTAATGCATATTTTCAATAAATTCGTTGATTTTTTTATTAAGTGGAAATGAAATAAGTTAAATGGGATAATTTTCTATACGTTGTACGAAAAACATAAAATAATAGTAATCAATATTTAAAATAATATTAA